TCATCCTAAGAGCATACAACCACTACTCAAATACCTACAATATAGGATGGAAAGATCAACCGAACGTAAAGTATGGGAATCAACAAGCTAACTTTGGAGATCATTCGAGAGGATTTCCAGCACCTAACCACCCTCCACAACCCGCTCAAACGATTCTGAGTAGTTCCTTAGAGGATACGATGAAAACTCTGGCGTCTAATACGTTGCAATTTCAACAGGAAACTCGGAATAGCATAAGGAACTTGGAAGAACAAGTAAGTCAAATAGCGATGAGATGTGCGAGATGAAGTCAAGAGAAAAAGGCAGATTGCCTTCACAACCCGACGTTAACCCGAGGAATGTGAGCTTGATTGTTATACAAAATGGTAAAGATTTAGAAGTATAAAAGTTGGAGTTTAAAAAGACAAGAATGAGAAAGACATTGAGAAAGAAATAGAGCAAGCCACCACTGAAACATCGAACAAGATAACTTTCGATACATCTACTAATACTAAAACTAATGTTGCACCGTTTCCTTGTAGGTTGGCGAAATCAAAGAAGGATGACAAAAATAAGGAGATGATGAAGATGTTTCGAAAGGTGGAATTGAACATACCCTTACTGGATGCGATCAAGCAAGTGCCGAAGTATGCAAAATTTCTGAAGGATCTTCGCGCGAACAAGAAAAGACAGCCCTGTTAGGTGGATAATTGAATGATTTTAACCATGCACTTTGATTGCAAATGAATTTTGTGATAAATGCTATCGGATTTTTACCTGGCGAATTTGCCGCTCCTCATTATCAACCCCAATCTTTAGAAGGAGATATTTGGTTGGAAAATGACAGCCCTGTTAGGTGGATAATGGAAGAAAATGCAGACGAAGCTTCTCATTCAGAGTCCATAATTTTTCGGAAACCGACATAAAGTGAAACACGCCATTTAAAACCATTATACCTCACCGTAATGCTTGATGGACGTTGGATCAGCAAGGTACTGGTAGATGGTGGGACATCAGTTAATATAATGATGTTATCAACATTGCAGAAGATTGGGAAGAATCACAACGGCTTGGTACCAACTGGAATGCGCACCACCGAATTAACCGGAAACACACACAAAGCCGCCGGCGCCATGGTCACATAAGCGGTTGTAGGATCTAGAAAAGATGAGATGGATTTCTTTGTTATTGAAGGAATGCCTACTTACTCAGCGATCCTTGGACTAAATTGGATTCATACTTCTCAATCAGTTCCGTCAACTTTGAACCAGTGCGTAATGTTTTGGAAACCAGATCGCGTCGAGGTCATTGAAGAAGAATCTGATCATTGATAGAAATACATGCGTTGGAAGCAATTTTCTTCTCTTCAGAAGTATTTCTTTTATCTATGATGTTACAACGAGCTGAATTGTGGGATGAGTGCAACTTGAAGACAAGAGGCTTTGAAGTTCGATCTAAGGCCGAATCACGGCCCGAGAATGAGAAGATTTACGATAGGATCGATTCTTTTTAATGGTCCAAACATCTTTGCCTGGTGATAAGGCAGAAATATATGATATAGAGGATGATCAGTTCATATTACCAAGACTTGAGGACGCGGAATACGACGAACAGTACCCTAGCTCGATTAGCCAGAGTGTTCCGACGTTTGAAGCGCATGATCCACTGGACGAGATTCAGTTAGGGAATAAGGCGGGTTCCAGGATGTGATGCCCCCGGAGTTGGGCCGTTGGTTGACTAACTCTCATTTGTCGATGAGCCGGTATTAGGTCATCCGAAGTTGAATATAAGTTAAATGGATTGAATAGACTACTCATGTCAAGCACATTCCTTTTTGGGAGCCCTACTCCTTGGGTGCGTGTGAGTGAGGATAGAAGCGCACTGGAAGGACTCATGTTGACTTGTAAGGCCAGTATACAATCCTGACACACCCGGCTTAGCATGGCTTAGGGTGTCATAGTTGTTATCAAAGCCGACCTGTGACAGCTCACAGTCGTTGACCAGACTAGTGACGAGCCTAGCAGTTAATGATCCTTATGGTGCAACGTTGCATTCTAAAGTGGGGGAGGATGTGATACCCCCGGAGTTGGGCCATTGCTTTGCCAACTCCCGTGTGTGGATGAGCCGGTATTAGGCCATCCAAAATTGAATATAGGTTAAATGGATTGAATATAGCTCAGAATCTTGTCGAACATCGATTACCAAAAAAACCTAATTTCAGGCCCCATAAACAACCTCCAAAGAGTTTTAATCCAGATATCCTCCCAAACATCAAAGAGGAAATAGAGAGGCTTTTGCGAGCTAATTTCATACGAACTTGCCTCTATCTGACCTATCGCGTGGTCAATCAAATATTTCACCTATTCCGTGATTACAATGTAATGTAATACAGGAGAAGGGATCGTCTGCACAGGGATTATGTGATTCACTCTTTCGTGCTCTAATGTAGTAAATAGAGGGGGGATTTTCTTTTGTTATCTAACAAAAAACAAAATAATAAAGCAATTAAATCAATGGAGAACTAGTTATTAATGGGATGCCTGACTCAAGAGATGATGCAGTTACGACACTTGTGTTTTATTATTGATTCAATAAAGTTAGTTCTTATTAAAGTATCGCTAAATTCGTTATAGTTATCAACAAGCTCTGAAAACCAATTTTTCCTTACTGTGTAGATAATTAAGGTACGACCGTTAACTACCCATAATTAGGCTAATAAACCTAGGTGCACCCATAAGAAATATTGTCTAATCGCATTCTAATCTAGAAAAACCCAATTCAAAACAATTACTACCTAAGAGGAGCAATTAAGTTTGATTGTCTAACCCCCGGGAAGGAACTATTCAACCTGGTTGTCACATATTCAAGTGTGAATACAATTACGGATATCCTACCTGAATTGACTTTAGATTATCAGACTAATTCAAATATTGGTACCAAAATATTCAATCAATCTAACAATCATAAACGTTATTATCAGAATTAGACAAATATTGATAATCAAAACGAACTTTTATAAAGAAAATTAAGAATCTCCAAAACAAAAGAACCAAAACATTATTATCCCCCAAACCAAAAAAGTATCTACTCCATAATCAAATAGCAAAGAACAAAAGAGAAAAATAAAGATAAAGTCATAGTGGGAGGGGAAATCTTCTCTGTCGATTTGCTCCTGCGCGATCTATAAGTCTGTCAGTCTCCTACTCTTGTGCGTATCTGCTTCTGGCTGTTCTCTCCCTCTTTATGCTTGTGATCCTATCATTTTATTTAATTTTTTGCCCTAATTATTTTGTAGCTGGGCTTTTGGGCCTTTAATTAGATTCCCATGTCAATGTCAAGAGGGTGTGGTTAGTCATGGTCATGACTAACTTGATTGTCCAATGCTGATTTTTTTCTTTTATTTCTCCAAATTCACCAAATTTGTCCTTTCTTTCTTGCATGTTGGAAATAAACAATACGTACTGAAATTAGGCAGAATCCAATCAAAATCAATCGAATATCGCATATAACATGAACATTTAACACATGCGATTTCTAACTATCACTATCCCAAATGGATTTCTAATGTTGTTCCGGTAATGAAAAATAATGGGAAGCTGCGAATGTGTAATGATTTCAGAAATCTTAACCTCGAAAAATATGTAATGCCGATAGCCGTCATGCTTATCGATGCGACATCGGAATATGAATTTTTATCATTTATGGACAGCTACTCGGGTTACAATCAAATTTATTTGGCCGAAGAGGATGCACACAAGACGGCTTTTAGATGTCCAGGTGAGATTGGAATTTCCAATGGATCATAATGCTATTTCGTTTAAAGGACGCGAGAGCAACATATTAACGCGCTATGAACGCTATTTTTCATGATTTAATTGGTACAACCATGGAAGTCTACATTGATGATGTAGTAGTTAAATCTCAAAGTTTTGATGATGATTTGGAACACCTTCATAAATCTTTTATTCATATGAGGCGACATGATCTCAAAATAAATCTAACTAAGTGCGCATTCCGTGTCCGAGCTTGACAATTCCTTGGTTTTCTCATTCATCATCAAGGAGTTAAAGTCGATATAAATAAAGTAAAAGCAGTCCAGCAAGTTGGATCTCCCTGGAACATCAAGGGATTTCAAAGTTTGATGGGGATAGTTAATTTCCTGCGACATTTTATCGCCAATGCAGTGGGGAAACTGAAAGAGTTTTCGGTATTGTTACGACGGAATAAATAGCCCTTGAAATGACGGGCAGAGCAACAAGAGGCTTTCCAACAAATTAAGAATGCATTGACCTCGCCACTGGTTTAACTCCACCCATCCATGGACGGCTATTAAATTTATATATTTCGGCTACCGAAGATACAATTGGATGTTTATTAGTGCAAGACGAGGCTGGGGGGTAGGAGCATGCTATGTATTATTTCAGTAAATTTTTGAATTATGCAGAGACCAGGTATTTGTCGATTGAAAAATTATACTTATTGTTCTATTATGCCTGAAGCTAGAATATTATATCGTGCCCTCTGAGATGAAAGTTCTATGCAAGTTTGATCTTCTACGCTACCTCTTGAGTCTCCCTGTTTTGCGTGGTCGATTAGTCAAATGGGCTATGAAAGTTTCATCCTTGGCAGTCACCTATGAACCGCTAAAAGCTGTGAAAGGACAAGCTATTGCTGATTTTTTAGACGAGTATGATGAATTAATTCTGATATTTTCTGAATATTTTGAATATGGTCAAGGAGAATTTATTTGTTTATTGATGGTGGGATTGATTGAGAAATAATTAGGAATTTGAACGATGGACACGTATTTCCTGTCCAACAGTTATATTTGATGTAGTTTGCTTTTATATATTGTATTTTTTTATTCGTAAGAAAGGAGAGTGAATTTCAGAAAACACAAAAACAGTGTGTGCTGTTCGTCCTGTTCTTCTTCATAGAATTTGCCTCGATTTTTCTGGTGTGATTCTTAAATCCAATCTAGTAGATTACCAACACTTGGTATCAGAGCGTTGTGTCTTGTTATGGCCAAATATCTACGATTGGAAGACATGGCTTTAGTAGCTCAAGGAAAAGAGAGCGGTGGTGTGCCGTACCAGTGTCCCATGCTAACATCTTCGAATTACACCACTTTGGCGATCCGGATGGAAGCTATTTTGGACGCACAAGGGTTGTGGGAGTCCGTTGAACCACCGGATGATGCTGTGGTCTATGCAAAGAAGAGTAAATCAGCAAGAGCTTTTATTTTTCAAGGGTTACCAGAGGACGTTCTGCTACAAGTGGCCAAGAAGAAGACGGCAAAAGAAGTGTGGGATTCATTGAAGTTGTGTTACCTTGGGGCTGATCGAGTGCAGAGGGCACGATTGCACACGCTAAAAAGTGAGTTTGAGGCTCTTCGGATGAAGGAGGGGGAAACAATTGATGAATTCACTAGAAAGTTGAACGGGATGATGTCCAAATACAACAGTCTTGTGGCAACGCTTGAGGATAGTGTTCTGGTACGAAAATTGCTTGATTCAGTCCCCGACAAGTACCTATAATTGGTAGCTTCGATTGAGCTATATTCAGATATTGACTCCATGCCGTTTGTGAGGCTGTTGGTAGATTGAAGGCATATGAAGATAGATTACTACTCCGAAGTGGTAATGGGAGGGGAGAAACCAGCCTGCTGCTTACCAGAACTGAAAACCAACAAGTTAACAAAGCTGCAGGAGGATCGTCGGGAGGACGAGGACGTGGTTTGAACGATAGAAGAGGTCGTGGAGGCCGTGGAAGAGGCCTTGATAGAGCTGGTCGAGGCAAATCCAATTGGCAACGAGATGCTGGTAACAACAATTACAAGCCAAGAGAGAAGAAACACATTAAGTGTTTCAATTGTGAAAAATACGGTCATTATGCATCCGAATCAAGAGCGCCAAAGGAGAAAGGGGGTGAAGCAAATTTGGTTGAAACGCAAGAGGATGAACCAGCTTTGTTGCTTAGCGTCCATGGAGAGAAAAAAAATACGTTGGTTCTATTGAATGAGAAATGTGTATGTCCTAGTACATTAGAAGGGACTGGTGAGGCTAGAGAAGATGTTTAGTACCTTGATAATGGCGCGAGCAATCATATGACTGGAACACAAAGATTCTTTGCAGAGTTGGATGAAAAAGTCACTGGCGAGGTTCGTCTTGGGGACGGTTCTAAGGTTCAGATCACAGGCAAAGGGTCAATCTTGTTGAAGTGCAAAAATGGAGAACAACAACTCATCTCGGAGGTATATTCCCGGCTCTACATAGTAATATTTTGAGTCTTGGACATATGACTGAATTGGGATACAAATTCAAGATTATAAATAATTTCTTAATGATTCATGATGATGTTGGTCATTTAATTATGAGGGTGGAACGATCGAGAAACCGATTGTATAAGATTGCACTCGAGACTACTCAACCCGTTTGCCTAATGGCGAATCTTGATAACAAACCATGGATGTGGCATGCTCAGTTGGGTCACGTGAATTTCGTACAATTGAGTGGATGAATCAAAATGAATTGGTTTGTGGGGTTCCCATTATACAACATTCTACGCAAGTTTGTGAAGGATGTATGGTTGCAAAACAATCGAGACATCCGTTCCCCAAAGAAGCTCAATGGCGGGCAAGTCAACCTCTTGAATTGGTTCATGCGGTTCTATGTGGTCCGATATCTCCTTCAACGGTGTTAGGTAACCCTTACTTCATGTTAATAGTTGATGATTTCAGTCGTTACATGTGGGTTTTTATGCTGAAATCGAAGGATGAAGCCTTTGCCAATTTTGCATAATTTAAAGTAAAAATTGAGAAAGAGTCATCGATGAAGTTGAAAGGATTGCAAACTGATCGTGGGGGAATTTACCTCTAAAAAATTTAATGAGTTTTGTGAGCAGGAAGGAATTCAGAGGCAACTTACAGCCCCTTACTCCCCTCAACAAAATGGTGTGGCGGAGCGTCGTAGTAGAAGCATTCTTGAAGTTACAAGGTCATTATTACGAACGACGAATGTGCCAAATGTAATGTGCGGTGAAGCTGTCAGACATGCTGTTTACATACTCAACCATATTCCGACTAAAGGAGTGAAAGGGATGATGCCATATGAAGTTCTAAAAGGATTTAAACCAACACTTGAGCACCTAAAGGTGTTTGGATGCATTGGGTATGTGAAGAAGCTGGCTGATCAGGTTTCAAAGATTAGCAATCGGAGAACTCCAATGGTTTATTTGGGAGTTGAATCAGGTTCTAAAGTCTACCAAATGTTGAACCCAATTGAGCTGAAGGTTATGGTTGCTCGTGACGCCGTTTTCAATGAAAAGAAAAAATGGAGTAGGGCCCAATCACACACGGAAGATGTTGATGTAAGTAAATTGTGGGTTAATGATTTTTTCAATCATAACCCGGAAGAAGAAGTACCAGCTGAACCTCCTGCTGAGCATACTGATGGAATTTCTGCAGCAGCTCCGAATGCAGCTCCTTCAAGCGATAATAGAGCAGCAAATGTGGACCCCTCGATGTATGAACACACTCCTATTAAAGGCTTTCGAAGTCTCACCGATATCTACAATGAGATGGAGCATGTGGAAGAGGAATCCGATGAATTGATGTTTGTAAGTGATGAACCTACAACATTTACAGAGGTGCTGGTGTTCCTTCGTGGCAGGAAGCAATGAAAGCGGAATTGTGTTCGATTGAAAAGAATCGTACTTGGAAACTTACAACTCATCCACCTAGGCTCAAACCAATCGGACTGAAATGGGTATTTAAAGTCAAGAAAGATGCTGATTGAAATGTCGTCAAACATAAAGCTCGATTGGTTGCAAAAGGATACATTCAACGGAAAGGGATCGATTTTGATGAAGTTTTTGCACCGGTGGCCCGATTGGAAACTATAAGGCTGCTATTGGCTATAGCTGCAATGAAAGGATGGTTGGTCCATCACCTTGATGTGAAGTCGGCATTTTTAAGTGGAGAATTGCAAGAAGAAGTATACGTGTCTCAACCCGATGATTTTGTTGCTAAAGGGAAGGAGCATATGGTATACCGTTTATACAAGGCCCTTTATGGCTTATGTCAAGCGCCACGAGCATGGAACATACGTCTTGACAAGGCACTCAAAGATTTGGGCTTTATAAGGTGTTCACAAGAGCAAGCGGTGTTTAAGCTTCATTGTTCCAATACAATTTTGATAGTTGGCGTATATGTGGATGATTTAATTATCATCGGATCAAATGAAGACCAAGTAATTCGGTTCAGAGGAAAAATGCATAAGGTGTTCGAGATGAGTGACTTGGGGTTGTTGACATACTACATGGGAATAGAAGTGCGGCAAAGTGGGAAAGGTATCAAGATAAGTCAACCCGGGTATGCAAAGCGGATTCTACAAGCAGCTGGAATGCGTGACTGTAATCCAACAAAGTGGCCAATGGATGCAAAGTTTAGCCTATCGAAGGATGAGGAAGGCATACCTGTGAATGCAACAAATTATCGCCAACTCATTGGTCGTCTTCGATACTTAATTCATTCAATACCAGACCTTTCTTACTCTGTTGGGGTCGCTAGTCGATATATGAGCAGTCCAAAAGAAAGCCATCTGAAGGCAGTGAAACAGATACTTCGATACTTGAAAGGTACGCTGCATTATGGTTTGGCATTCACAAGAGGTGGCAATGGAAAGTTAGTAGGTTACAGTGACAGCAGCTACGGAATGGATTAGGATGATCGAAAGGGCACCACTGGGACAATGTTTTACTTCTCGAATAATCCAATTACGTGGTTATCTCAGAAGCAACAAACTGTGGTTCTATCTTTTTGTGAAGCAGAGTTCATGACAGCAACAGCGGCTGCTTGTCAAGCCGTATGTTTAAGGAATTTTTTGAAGGACTTAACCGGATGGGAAAGCTCGAGAGTGAGGCTGTTCATTGATAATAAATCAACAATAGCGCTAATGAAAAATCCTGTGTTTCATGGTCGCAGCAAACACATAGATACGAGGTATCGTTTTATACGTGAATGTGTTGAAAGAGAGATCATTAGCGTGGAGCATTTTAGTGGAGAAGTGCAACAAGCTGACATATTGACTAAAGCATTACGACGAGTCAAGTATATCGAGATGAGAAGTCTATTGGCGTTGAAGAATCTTGACAACAAAAATCAGAATTAAGGGGGAAAAATGATGAAAGAATTCTGATTTTTGGATATTATTAGTGTGGTCAAAAGAAATTCAATTTCGTGATTAATGCTGGGAGTAATTGAGACATAATTGGTACATTTGAATATTTAACCGTTTCTAACAGTTTCGGGATTGAGCATTTAGTTTTCATTTGCTTTTATCTATTGTAAATTTTTATTCGTAAGATAAGAGAGTGAATTCCAAAAAACACAAAAATAGAGCGTGTTGTTCACCGTGTTTTTCCTAAAATTTGCCTCAATTTTTTTGGTGTGATTCATAATTCCAATCTAGTAGATTACCAACACCTTTATCATGGCAGCTAAATCATCTCGAGGAGCATGTATGCTAATGTGCACTGAAGGTGACGAGCTGAAAGTGGCTATTAATGGCAAATATTTAAAAAGATATTATCCATCAATATGAGACGATGAATGGAGGACATCACCGCCCATAGAGTTAAATGACGATGAAGACAAATAATCAAATACTCTACAAAAGTATCGATCGGATAAAAGTTCATAGAAGAGATATTTTCATTTATATCAGATCCACACTTTTGTGGAGGGCAATTTGTTATCCCAAAACAAATATATATTATTTGGGCTAATTATGCGTTTAATGGAAGAGAAGACAACTCAATTGTTCAACTCAAACGAAGGCACAAATCCAAGTTGGCGAGCCCAGGCGAAATAAGATATGTAGTGAAATAATCTTTGGATAATGATAAGATTTGGATAAGATAAATCCTACTTATGTTAGATTTGGTGAGATTTAGCATATATATATATATTATGTAGTCAAAAACGACATACACATACACATACATTATAATTTTACTTTCAGTTTTCATGCAAGTTTTATTTTTTCCTTTCCCGCCTTGCTTCTTTCATTGCTTTCTTTTTTCTTTTCTTTCTTGATCATTTTGCTTCTGGGTTCTTTTCTTTTGAGTTGGGATTTGAATAGTAAAAATTTTGAATTTGAATAGTTGTATGATGTGATATAAATAGGTGATAATGTGATGTTTTGAATGTAAAATTGATTTTTAGTATAATATAAAAAATAAAAAATAGGTGTTTGATTTGATGTTTTTGGGGGGAAAATTTTGGATGAATAGTGAGATTTTGTCCAAATCTCTCAACCAAACACACCCTTAATTTTTTTCCACCTTCCTTTAACTTTGTTGCTTTCTTATCCTTCTATCTTTGTCCCTTTTTCTCTTATTTTGATTTATTACTTTTGGCGAACACAATTCCGGATTCTTTTTGGAGAAAGCCGGAGGACCTACCCAATTTTCAGCATGCTCGCCACAATAAGCCGTAGAAAAATATTTTGAGCGACAATAATCATTTCAATTAGTATTTTCAATGCACAGACAAAACAATTGTCATTATTTGCTTAGTAATTACAAACATCATATTGCATGTACATACTTAAAATTATAAACTTAGCCTTATTAAAACTTGATTACTCAACTGTATACAAATCTAATCGAACAACTAAGAAAGGTAACTATAAAAAACTAATTGTTTATAAAATAAAAAACATAATTTTTTTTTTCTAAAGAGGGGGACATTGGCCGATCCACATAGGGGCCCGGGAGGTCCCGAGCTCCCCGAGCCATTGTCCCTACCGTTACGTTGACTATATTGTTAATTATATAGACCAATTGTCTATTCAGATTCGATCATTTTTTTATCAAATTAATATTTTTATATTAACCAAATACGTTTAATATACATATAATTTTAACCATTTATTTTGCTCAAAAAAATAAAAATATCTTATTTTTCAAAGTCAATAAAACCTTTAGAGGGTACTTGTATGATTAATATGTGCATGCAAAAATTTATTGTTTTTCAAAAAATAGTTTTACTTTTAATTCTTTATCAGTTTAACGAATGTATGAACTAATATAATTTTTATTTATGAATGTTTATTACTTTTATTATTGTGTGTGTTGTTTTAAATTTTGTATTTTTTTTAGTATTTTTAAAGTAAAATATTTATTGAATATAATGATATTTTGTATGAAAAAATTATTACTAAATAAAATATATCTGAAAGTATTGCCAATATGCATAAAAAATAAAAATAAAAATAACCGAAAAGAAAGGAAAATAACAAGATCAAACAATAATTGCAATCAAATTAAGGAATCCTCCTATTATTAATGAAATTCACCTCTATAGTGCTATGATATTAGTGATTTGTATTCAAATAAAAATATTTTATGATTCGAAATAGTAGCATCTTAGTAAAAAAAAAAAAAAAATTAAGGTAAAAAAGTATACAAATACAGGAATATATATATATATATATATAAGAAAAGTACTTGAGTTCTCAGTATTTCCTTCTTAGAAATTTCTCAAACAAGAACTAAAAAAATCAACAATTTCAATTTCAACATTTATTTCTTCATTTCGAGCTTCTTAGCAACTGCAACATTTGCTGCCTCAGTCATCCCAATATTATTAATGACAAGTCTAGTTTCTTCTTTGACGTCGTTTCCTTAATCCAAACAATTTTCTTGTAGTATATAATCTTTTATTTACAACTATATCAACTCACACAACAAGCGATTAGATGTGAAGTAGACATGATCCTTGGAAATGACCACTTCAATAGAGTGCTGTAATTTTCATTAATGTTAGCTCAAATTAAGTTTTTGTTGTCAACTACAGGCTCTTTTACTAGTAACTTGTAGATTTGACATTGGGGCTCATATCAGAATACCCTCCTTGAACAAAAATAGACAATTTGTCTTTTTTTATATGGTAGTCTACATTAAATACTTTAATGATTTGTGAATTTTCTACTTCAGGTGGGTAACGGACCTTGTTTATCCATCCATTTCTAAAGTCCTTCGGAGAAAGTGCTTGCATCAAATTCTTACTAGAAAATATGATCACCCTTGTCTCTATACAAATGTTCGCAATGACGTGTGCTTCTAGACTTCCATTATACTTGCAAATCTCTTCTTATCATCATTGTAACTTTTCTTTATATCCATGCAATCTAAGGGATGAAATACCCATACCAATTTTTGGGAATCTATAACCTCTTTTTTTTAAAGCAACATACCATTTTATTTTATTTTAAATACCAACAGATAGAGAAATTAAATCACACTGCCTAAGTGATAAGCCACCCACAACCCAGGCACCAATTTATACCTTAATTACACCATTTTAATTACCTACCTAAATATCTAAGCATTTTGATATCTGTAGCAAAGAGTTCGGTTGCTTGATAGACTACTTTCTGGTATCAGGAAAACAGACGAGACTTTGCTTGAAACTTGCATTTTTTTGTTGCATTTTTATCTTCATGTTTAAGATAATCTTAAATAATACTCCATCAATCCGATAAAATTACTTGTAAGTTTGGTTGGACATTATTTTAATGTTAAAGTAGAATAGATAAAAAGTAAACTAGCGGTATTATAGAAAAATTATTAAGGGATTGATAAAAAAGGTAGTAAGATAAGTAGAAAACATAATGGTATGTTAGTTATTCTTTTCTAAAATAAGGGTTTTAAAATTGTGGCGGGATAAAAGCGTTTACTACAAATAGAATGTGCATAATCTTATAAAACGGCTAAAAAAAGAAATAATTACAAAATTTTGACCGACAGAGAAACTAACACTATAAGATTGTTGTTAATATGCTGACTCTAATTAGTTAGTACAATGTTGATAGCACATAAAATATATATAGACAACATAAGATATATGTTAATACGTTATAAGTCAACACATAACAATGATCACCTCACACATAATATAGATTATTTCAGCACACAATGTATATTAACATAGCACACATATAAACTACAATGAATAATACATGCTAGAAATCAATAAAACATACGTTTTCTGATGTATTTTAATGTGTTGTGTTGATTAGCTCCATTTAACACTTTAACCATGTTGGGGAAGTGATTTATCGAACAAAACACATTCGAACACTTTAAATGGCCAACTCCCGAAGCGTGGGCGGTTCAAAGTTATAACTACGTTTCAACAATGAAAAACAATGCAGAACATAAAACAACAATAAGACAAGGTGTTTGTTGACCCGGTTCGATTGTCAACAAATCTACATCCGGAGGATACCAATCCAGGAGGAATTCCACTAACCAGTGCTGATTAAAGACACAAACAACCACAACTCATTTAACTCTAATGCTAGTCATGGCTAACCCAGGAAAGTACCTCCTAAGGTTCGCGTTGCTACAACCTTGTACTAACAACGACCACACAGCAAAGAAGTCCAGAGCTTGATCATTCCCTCCGGTTGGAACTCCATTAAATCCGAACACTTTCGACCTTTCCGGCGATTTTTTCTGTCAAAAACTCATTCAAACTAAGGAGAATCGATATGGATAGATGGATGAGATCTTCACTCAATATTCTTCTCTCTAAAGTATGATCTCCAAATCACTCATCACCAATTTTCAACCCTATTCGGTTGAGTAAATCACTCGCATTCCTGGAATAAAAGATTCCACATTAATTTCCCTTTGCACCGAAATGGAAGGAGTGAGTTTCCATGTTTTGATCTTTCTTCAAATATGTCTTTTGTCTTTTGGAAAGTCTTTGGTGCATAAGTTAAGACACCATTGATTCATATGCCAAAATAACTTAGGGGAATTTCCATTCACATTCTCCCCTTTTTTGGCATATGAAATCACAAATAAAAGTGCAGGAATTAACCTACTCACGCACTCAATCATCCAAGAGTGAGTCCAACTATTACATTCCAACAAACATAAAAAGGCTACAGACAGCCTTTACATTGATATGGTTGTAATCACTTCGGACTTCCAACGAAAATAGTAGGAGCAGATAAAATTGATAATCACAGCAAGGCAGACAGCAGTGAACAAAGATTTAACAGCTCCCCCTGAAAAAATGATCTCCTCTTTCTTGCATTACTCCCCCTTCGTGGGAGCATTTGACAAAAAGAACATAGACCCTAAAAAACATCCTCATTTTGCTAAGAAAATAGTTGCAACAGCAACATCCATATCAACATAGGCAGCAACACCAACATGAACAACAACAACAACTTCAGTTGATTCGGCATCAGTTTTGTTGCAATAACAACTTCGCAACATCAACAAAAATTCCTCCCACAACAACATCAACAATGGGTTGTGCAATGAACACTCACCATTCCACTAAAACAAGCATTAAATCTGATTCTCGCCATTGGTCAATCAAATCTTTTCTCAACACCTTTTTTTTTTTTTTTTTGGATTTTTCAGAAACATTTTCTTTCCAAATTATTTTCATTCTCCAATATTCACCACAAATATTCCAAACACCATAAATTTATTGGAGAATTTAGTAAGCACTCATGCATGCAAAATCAAGTAGGGTACGAATGCATACCCAAATGTCGTCCAAACTTTTCAAACTGATTTGCATCCAACGCCTTCGTAAGAATGTTTGCCTTTTGATTATCCTTGAGCATCCACACCAATCTGACTTTAACATTTTATCTGAGTTCTTCAGTAGGCCACTGAATATTTTTGTCATTCATAATGTCCTTCGCCAATCTGAAACATTTCTCAGCAGTATGTCCAAGACATCTGCAGTATCCGCAGTCATTACGTCGTGATGACATTTGTCTAACACCTTGTGTCCTGCGATTTTTATTCCAATCTCTGTTTTTGTTCTTCTTCAAATTCTGCTTCACCATCGGAACTGATTTGTCCTCTGGAATTTCAACATCAGCAAGAAGTCCACCCTAGACAAATGTAGTAGGTTTTCTGTGTGAGGACTCACAAAAACCTATTCCCTTGTGATCACCAAAAGGTTTTCCAATCGAAAGTACTTCATCCAATTTCTTATTTCCCTTTCGAAGTCTGTCATTATCTTGTTTCAACTACACATTTTCAACCTTTAATCTATCAGCTTCTGTTGATTTCTCATGAACATCCTTCTTTAAAATTTCAATTTCATCATCCAACTTTTCCTTTTGAGCTTCCAGCCGGTAAATGGTGTCCAAAAGTTCTTTATTTTTCACTAAAGATTTCTTTTGTTCTTCCACCATCTCCTCATAGGCTTCAATCAATTCATCATCATCAAGTTCTATGGATTCCTCTGAAGCTTTATCAGTAGAAGCACCATCATCTTTAATAGATTCAGATTCATCGGCCATGAAAGCCACAACTTCATCATCTTCAGCTTGTTCCTCGACACAGACAGTTTCATCTTCATCATTGTCACTCCATGTTGCTTGATATGCTCTTTTCTCCATTTTCTTCACTGTCGGACATTCAGACTTGATGTGACCGATTCCTCCACATCCATAGCATGTTGGCTCTTTGACAGATTCAGGTTTAGGGGACACAGTGAACTTCTTCTTGAATCCACCATCAAACTTATCTTTTGGCTTGTTGTAATTTGATGGTTTATGTTCAGAGTATTTCCGTTGTAAGCTGGATGTACTCACACCCTGATAACCACTTATGTTCTGGAACTTTCCATACTTCAGTTTGGCTGCTCGTTTCTCACTTATCATTCTTGAAAGTTCTCGACTCAACATAGCCATTTCCTCATCAGATTCGATCAGCTCTATGTCTTCCACACTTAAGGCCATGCTTTTTGGAGTTTCATCTTTGAGATAATTCATTTTATAGCTCACCAAAGTGCTGTATAGTTCATCCAACGTCATATTTTTCAGCTTTGGTGGTTCATCGAGCATAATCACCTTTGGCCTGAAATTTTTTGTGAGACTTTTAAGCATCTTCCTCACCAGTCTCTTTTCTTCAAAGTGCATTCCAAGAGCTTCTGCCTGATTGACAACATCCATAAAGCGATTATAGTAAACAACGATTATTTCGTCTTCATTCATCTTCATTCCTTCGAACAATGTCTCCACATGATCTAGTTTAGATTCTCGGACTTGTGTTGAACCTTCGAATGCATTTTCCAGAATGTCCCAAGCTTTCTTGGCAATTTTGCAGTTTGATATAAGCTTCGCCTGAGTTTCATCCACAACATTAAAAATCGAAAATAGGGCCTTCGAGTTTGCTATTCCAGCAGCTTTTTCATTCAACGTCCATTCTCTCTTCGATTTCTTCACAAGAGTAGTAACACCATATTCATCTTGGATGGTTTTCATAGGATGAGACCATGCACACTCAACAACATCAGAAACGTCTTCACCTTGAAGCATCAGAAAGGCTTCCATTTTGTTCTTCCAACTTTGGTAATTTGTCCCATCGAACAATGGAGGTCTTGATGTTGAACGTCCTTCCTTACTCATGTCTGCAATTGTGACCAGATCTACTCAACGAATTATAGAACACTGCTCTGATACCAGATGTTGGGGAAGGGATTTATCGAACAAAACACATCGGAACACTTTAAAGGGCCAACTCCCGAAGCATGGGCGGTTCACAGTTATAACTACGTTTCAACAACGAAAAACAATGCATAACATAAAACAACAATAAGACAAGGTGTTTGTTGACCCAATTCGATTATCAACAAAACTACATCCGGGGGATACCAATCCATGAGGAATTTCACTAACCAGTGATGATTAAGGACACAAACAACCACAACTCATTTAACTCTAATGCTAGTAATGGCTAACCCAGGAAAATACCTCCTAAGGTTCTCGTTGCTACAACCTCGTACTAACAACGACCACACAACAAAGAAGTCCAGAGCTTGATCATTCCCTCCAGTTAGAACTCCATTAATTCCGAACACCTTCGACCTCTCCGGCGATTTTTTCTGTCAAAAACTCATTCAAACTAAGGAGAATCGATATAGATAGATGGATGAGATCTTCACTCAATATTCTTCTCTCTAAAGTATGATCTCCAAATCACTCATCACCAATCTTCAACCCTATTCGGTTGAGTAAATCACTCACATTCCTAGAATAAAATATTCAACATTAATTTCCCTTTGCACCGAAATGGAAGGATTGAGTTTCCATGTTTTGATCTTTCCTCAAATATGTCTTTTGTCTTTTGAAAAGTCTTTGTTGCATAAGTTAAGACACCATTAGTTCATATGCCAAAATAACTTAGGGGAATTTCCATTTACAAACCATTCTCTAGTATAATAATACATGTCTTGATTTAGCATTGAACTTTTATTTCTTTTTTACAAAATCACAAATGGCATACATATTTTGTAACGAGGAGACATGCTAAATATCGAATTACCAACTATTATTTTTATTATTATTTCTTGTAGCAAATTGTATTTGGTCGTAACAATGTTTCATGTGTGAATAAGTCATATATGCGCTATTTAAGAATCATGTTGGTTTTAATTCCCTACTAATTATGCAAGTATTTTTTTTTTATTACCAAATAAACCTTTTATTTCTATTGTATATTGTTTAGGAATTTGTCACATGCATTACTTTTAGGCTAAGATAAGTCTTTTATGCTTAAGGCGGCCCAATTCATTAAAGCCTGCTAGATTCGGATTTGATGTCCGTTGTTGGATCTAGACATTAAATAATGACCTACCATCTTAGGTATAAATGCCCTACTTCCCAACCTCGTCTTTTAAACATAACCCTAGTCTTCTCCCTGACACGCCGATTTTCTCCCTATACGTTTTTTACATCCCATCCTACTGTGTCTATATTCATTCCTCTGGTTGATTTTCTTCGTATTTTTCCCATGTTCCTGGGATATTATTTGTAAGGGCTTTTGAGCTTGTTATTGGTAGAATAAATTTTGTGTTAGTTTGGTTTATGAGTTTTGTGATTCTAGGATTGAGATTTAAGTTTTGAGGCCAATATGCTTTACATTATTTCTAGACTTAATCACCAAAATTTTGAAGTATTATAGATTTATACCATCTATAAAAAGAGAGTTATGGTTCTGTCTAGTTTAATTATGTACTTAATATTTTAAATATAGTATATCTTTGCACTAATATATCTTTTTATTTGTGAAAAACCTAGTCCTTGGTTGATCAAAGACTTGAATGCCTCATGTTTCCTCATGTTTGCCACATAACTAAATAGTTTAGGTGGTAAGACATCACAGTTAGACTTACTGGTTTAAGTATTATTCTTCTAAAGCTTAATGTTTCTTTTCTTTTCTCTTTGCTTTTTTCTAGTTTTTTGCCACGGACATGAGAGTATATATTCTATACATACATTTATCTCCATGTCATTTTTTAAAATATTAAATCTTCTTTAGAAGCACACAAAACTCTCAAAACATCTTAAATTGCTAATGCCGATGACATGTGCGGAACTAATGCTCAAGCAACTCTGGCATTAATCATCCTATATATAGAAGATGTGAAACTGGTGTGTTATTATACCAATATGATGTTTGTGAATATGGCCTACATAGAGGTGAATCCATTGCTGATTTGACTCGATTAGCATATACATTAAAGGTAAATAACAAATATTATATTCAATGTAGTATAGTTATACATAACATATGTCTTACAATGTAGAAGCATCTGCCGTTTACTTTCATTATATAGGCTAATTGAGTCAAATCAGACTCAAACGTCAGGGGATTAGCATCCGGTCTATATACATGTTATTTGTCATTATTTAATGGTTTTGTTAGTTTATTTTTCTCTTGAACATAAGGCGTCACATGTATTGTTAAAGATATTCCTTAGATCATTTAAAGTGATGTGTCATTTTAGGCATGATTGCAATTTAATTTTTTATCTATGTATAGTATGAAAGAAATTTCATATTTCTTGTTTGTTAAATGAAATTTGTGCTTGTGATTATTATATGTCTAATAATTACTAAGTATTTTAAAATTGAAGAGATTATATGGTTGGTAAATTAATGTGTGTAGTTGGTATGTAATTAATTAATGAGTACAGTTGGTAAGTAAATTGGTGAATTAAAGAATATTTGGTAGGTAACGGATAGGAAGTATTGGATGAATTAAATATTTTTCTTGAAAAAATTTAATAAATTAGTTATGTTTGTCTATAAATAAAGAAGAAGATTCGAAAAGTTGTGAAAACAAATAAAAATATTACATATGGAAAAAAGAATGCTAGTATTGGAGTGTAAGAGAAATTGTTATACAGATCTGCAATCCTATCAATAATGTTGTGAAGACGACTCATACAAATTTGTCATTTACAGGTTAATTTTGCATCTACTTAATTTCCTTACTTAATGTTGTTTATTGACAATCACACTATTTTAAAACAATTGTACTTCTTTTTTAATTACAAATTTTTATTCGTAAATGTGACATAACTTCTATTTTAAAAGTAACATTTTCAAAATTTGAGGAATACATTGTTTTATGCAGGAATAAATATATCATCAAAAAAGAGTTCAAGAGACACAAAATTGTGGTCTGTGAAGGATCCAGCCAGACCAGCCTAAGCGGGTCTAAACCAGACCCGATTAGTCGGGAGGCTCAGAACAAAATAGTTTTCCGCCAGTTTAAACAAGTTTTTTATTTTTTAGGAGGGAGGGAAATATTTGGTTTGATATTTTCTAAGAGATAAAGAATAGTTGATGTAATTGTTTTGAAAAGTTGAATAGTACCAAAGTCTCCAAATTGTTATGTAAACAATTTTGTTTACAATATGCTTGGAGGTTATATATTATGCAATTCCTAGGGTATTTTGAGTAGAGGTTTTAAAGCTTCGATCACTTGCAATTAAGATCAGTTATGAGGTAAATAGTGGAGTCTCTGTATAGAAAATAGATTTTTTTCTTTTTAATGCAATATTTTAAATTTCAAATGTAAATAGTGAATGTAATATCATTTTCAAAATGTAAACTTTGAATGAATAATATTTTACATGTATGCATAATACAATAACATCTTTGACGTGTAAAATCCGGATCTGTGCCAAGCAGGCTTACTATTTAAATGGAATAATAATTAACCCCAACCTAACATCAATGTGCTAATAAAAACACCCTGCCCTAATATATATATGCAATTATATTTATACTAACATATACATTCTCAATATATATAAATATATATATATATTCAATGATGGGATTACAGCAATAAATTGAAATTAAGTACTCCTTCTATCCCGTTAAAATAATTAATTTGGGCTCGATAGAATAATTATGAAAAATAAACATTTTATTAAAAAATAGTAAAAGTAAAAATAGTTGGGGGCAGTGGCAGAACTAGACTAGAGGGCTAATTTTTTAAACTTACAAAAAATAATACAATATATTTATACATATAAAAGAGCATATGGGTTGTTTTTTGATAATTTATCATTCTAATTGTCATATTTTTAAAACGTTACATATCATGGAACTACAATAGTATCAATAGTTATATATTGTAACTATTTATATTTGAATTTTGAAAAATAGATAAAGAAAACAATTTTTATTAGAAAAAAAATCACGATTAAAAAATTTTGTATTTTCTAATACTAGTGACTTCCTCCATTGCAGTTGATTACGCCACGTTCTTTTTGGCAAGTTTATTAAAAAAATGTATTAGAAAGTTAATTGTTTTGAGTTTAGTTGATATGATAGTTGTAATAGAGTTATATATTTTTATTTATTGCATATTTTATGGATAAAATAGATATGAATTAATTTGAACTTAATAATTTTAGACAACAAATTATTTGTGTAAGTATTTGTAATAATACTAAAAATTAAAACTATAGATATAATTTTAAATTATTTGTAATAAATTATTATAGTAATTATTTAAAATATAAAATAAATATTTATGTATTTGGTTTGATTTCTTTATAAAAATTTTACTATTTATCATTTTCTCTTAAAAATATCAAATCAAACTTCTATTTTTTTTATATTATAAAATAAATTATACATTCAAAATGGTAATATTCATTTATATTATACTCTCAAATAACTATTCAAATTTAAAAATTTACTATTCAAAATTCAAATTCAAAATTCAAACTCTCAACCAAACATGCCGTTATTGTTTATTAATTATGAAATATATTATTTAAAATATTAAAATTATTTTTATTTTTATTTTTTTCTGAAAAAAATAAAAAATTAGCTCAGGCCAACCCCACTTAGTCTTATTTCTGTATTTTGTTTGTTGTTTGATTCGGATTTTCGGATCATTCCATAGTGCTATGGTATTAGTGATTTGTAACCAAAGATAGCATATTTTATTATTGGAATTTGTAGTAAAAAAAAAAATAAGGCAAAAATATAATATAAATACAGAAATATATATATAGGTATAAGAAAAGTACTTGAGTTCTCAAAACAAATAAAGTATTTCATTCTTAAAAATTTCTCTAATAAGAATTAATAAACATCAA